CATCCTATGTCCCTTTCGGAGAGACCAGTGGGAGACACAAAGGAGGAAAGCCCAAGCTGCTGGTACCTGTGACAAAGGGAGCCCTGTTCCTGCTGCCTTGTCCTCTCTGCAGTCCCTGTGCTCGCAGGTGGAGACATCTTTAGGGCTCAAACCTAAAAAGTATGTTAGTGTTTGCAGGTACCAGTTGGGGTTCAGCCTCTCCTGTGTGTTCAGGCAGCTTTCACGGCACCGGCTGAGTCGGGAGAGAAGGGCAGCAGCTCTCCTGCCCCAGGGCTGTAGCTCATGGAAAAGCCAGCCCAGGCTTTCCCTCTGGAAACCTGCTAGACTTTTTGTGGAACCCTGCCTTGGGACTGGCCCTCCCTCCCCAGTTCCACACCTCCCTGCTTATCTGCCTAATTATCCTGTAGCTTCACCCAGTCAGACAGTGGGCACGGAAAAAATAGGTCTGTTGTGGCTGGAGAAGGGATGGTGGTTCCAGCAGAGGAGTCTCTTTGGTCCCGTCTGTCTGCTCTGCCTTTGGAGCTCACGTCCCTCCACAGAACATGTCAGATGTTGGTGTGTGTTCAACGATCCTTTAAACTCCAAACCCTGCAAGGACACTGCACCGCCGAGCTCTGCAGCTGCAGGACGGCGAGGGGAGAGGAGGAACCTGCTCTGTGACCACCGTGCAGCCAGAGGAGCTGCTGTCAGTGCCAGGGATGTGCGTGTGCACCCATAAATACATAATTAAGTCATTATTCCTAATGATACACTGCAATCTCATCTGTAAAGAAAATATTATGTTTGCTCTTCAGAAGCTCATGTTGAGGTCTTTGTAATGAGCATTCCCCCCCAAATTCTTCCATGACTATAGTTTAAAAAAAATCTACTATTGTAACTTTAGAGAGGATCAGTTCCTTTTTTTGTGCAATTTAAGTTCATATAATCAGGATATGCTCATCGTGCAGTCGGCACCTTTGCTTTTAACAACTGGAACAATATTAATGTGTTATTAGCCTCTCCAGTGTCAAATATTTAGATGTGCTGCTGCTGTGTGTTACTGAGCTGACTTCTCTCTCTACTCCTGTGATTCTATCAGCCAGGAATCCACGCTCATTATGTGATTGCAAATTGTTTCTGGATTTCATTAAATCAGCAAACGGGCATTAGCTGGATATTTACATCAGCTGAACTTGTGATAATTTATCCAATTGGGCAATTGTTATTTTGGAATAAAAAAGAAGTCCTGAGGGATTATGATTCATTTTCCTTTCTCTGTATAAAGTCCCAGTGCAGCCCCTGGAACTTGGCTGGAGAAGTGGGGAGGAATGGCAAGCCTGCTGCAGGTGCCAGGGATAACAGTGGTTTCCCTTCAGTCTTTCACTGCTGCTGCACAGTTGGAAAAAGGGGAGCGAGATGCTCAATATCAATGGATTTACATCAGAGAGTTCAGAAAAGACATTTTTTTGGCAGCTCGCGTTTTGTATAAATAGAAGGGTTATGATAAATTATAATTTTTTTTAAAAAAACCACAATGTTCAGGGCCACTGGGTCTCTTGGGCCGTCTCCAGGACATACCAGGCTGTACCCTGTATGTGACAGGATGCAGAGACTCCTATAAATAGAAGGGTTATGATAAATTATAATATTTTTTTTAAAAAATGCAATGTTCAGGACCACTGGATCTCTTGGGCCGTCTCCAGGACATGCCAGGCTGTACCCTGTATGTGACAGGATCAGAGACTCGATTCTCTTTGCCTTTTAACCTTGTGCTGTTGCAGAGGTCGTGTGGAGCAGAAATCCCCTGCTGGGGGATGTCAGCAGGATTTACCCCCTTCTACCAGGTGTAAGCGATGACGTTGGTAATACTGGAGATGTCCCCGAAATAATAGGATTTGTAACAAATTAGAAAAGGCTCGGAGGGAGAGACAAGGTGTGGACACGGGATTTAACACCCTGTTGACAGACTGAATGTGCTGCTGAGCAAGTGCCCGTTGCACAAGAGATAAGGTGCAGCCGTGAAACGGGCTCCAGCCTGGTCTGTCCGTGGGGCCACGTCCCTCCTGTCAAAGGAGAAGGGCAGCCTGTGGGGCTGGGAGAAACAAAAATCCAGGCTTATTCCCCGTTGAGCTCAGTAGGAAAATTCCCTCTGATTGCAGCTGAACTTGGACCCCTTTCTCCTCCTCTTCTAATCGTTTCATAACCAGGTTCACATTCATCTAATTTCATGTACTTGTACTTGCAAAGCCTGACTCAGCAGTAAATGTTATCAGCTTCCATTCAGACCTGCAGAAAGCCGAAAAAAAGTCAACCTTCCCAGAACAGACATCAAATAGCAGCTTTGTCCTGCTGAGTCAGGCCCTGAGTGTGCCTGGACCCTTATTGTTTTGAAATTTAGAAGATGGTCCACAACCCATGGAACAGATAAGTGTGCGATTCATTGGATACAGTGAAATTCTTCAGTTGGTTGTGCTGAGTGGGAAAAGCTGCAGATGCATTGATAACCAGGCCAAAGTTTATTAAACCTCTAATTTTAAAGGAAACCTTGAGTAGAGCCTTGCAAAATGTTTATATACCTCCATGTATATTGAACCTCTCAAAGGACATCAGAAGAGTCTCCTTGTGCAGCTTCTATCTGCAAGGAGGAATTGTTTTTCCTGATTTAACTGCTGTTTTAAAAGCTGTAGTTATTGACATTTTGTCTCTGCGTGTTTTCCAAATGCAGCATTTTCCAGATGCAGCCTCGTGTTTTTAACAGAGAGCTGGCAACTTCCTAAATTCACAGATTTCACGATAATCTCTGTGTTCAGAGGAAACAAGTCACTCGACCACCGGCGTTAAGCACCCTCACTGGCAGGTGATGCTGTGGGAGGGGTGACTGGGGCTGGAGGGGCCGAGTCCTGTGGAGACAGAAAATGTAGAAATCTCTCTGCAGAGCTCAGCTGCCTCCAGCTCCGCAAATCGGGAAACAGGGATTCACCTGCTCGCTCCCAGCACGGTGGTCCCTGGGGAAGGAGATGCCTCGTTAGGACCTGAGCCGTACAGAACAGGGATGTACAGATCAGTACCAGCAGCCGGGAGCTGTACCTGGAAGCAAAATTCTCTGCACCACAAAGAAGCAAAATTCTCTGCACCGCGTATTTCTAACACAGGCACAGGGAGCGGAACTAGAGCACGCTTTTCTCTCAATTAGTGTGAGGGATGAGAGCGGGGACTCTGAGCTGTTTTCCTCTCCTGCCCACTGACTTGCTGGGGATTTTGGATAAGTCATTTAATCTCTTTGTCTTAGTTCCCTCATCTGTAAAGCCAGATGAGTAACATTGAGCATTTTTATTGGAATTCTGGATGAAAGGCAGCGTGAATGCAGAAAATATTGTGGCTCTCCTCTTCTCCTCGGGCGAATCTCCCGCTCGTGTCCCTGGATTTTGCAGGTGGAGAGGATGAGGAGCCGGGGAGGGCAGCGGGTGCTCTGCTGCGGAGCTGTGCCACGGAGCTCTGCCGCCGCCGTCCGCAGCGTCACCTTCAGCGTCCTCCCTGTCCCCGCCGGGATGGAGGTGACGCGCTGCTGGCGAAGGAGAGAGATCCCTCTGCATTTTAAGCGACGCTGGTGGAGCGCCAGGCGCTCAGGCCATGGAAGCAATTACAGCTCTTCACGGGGCACGCAGAGATTTATATTTTTTTTAAAAAAACGGGAAAAAAAATTTAGAAAATCATACTGAAATTTATTAACTGTTGACATTAGCTTTTCTCCAGTATGTATTTTTTATAGCTGAATTACAGTTTGTGTTAGGAGAAGGAAGCAATGTGGCAGATCACGAAGGGACTATGAACTTCTGACCCGCCCCGTTATGAACGGCTGCTGTCACTCACAAGGGACATAAAAGCAGCATCAGGATAGAGGTGTGTTCTTCCCTCTTTCTGCGTTTCTTCTGTTTCTCCTTGATTACAGATATCTTTTACTCCCATGTTACACTTCTTTATGCCTTTTTTTTTTTCTTTCCAGATAATAAACCCCAAATAACACTACTATTAAGTAGCTGTGTTTCAGGGAGCACGTTTTAAGCTGCGGGGGTGACAGGGGGAGGGCAGCCGGGTGGCGGGGAGGCCCCTGTGCCCGGTGGCCGTGTGTGCTGGTCCCCGTGGCCTTGAAGGGCCACCCGTGTCCCGTTCCCGGTGCAGACATGGCCCTCCCTCCCTTCGGCACCGCTCGGGGCCTCACTACCGGCCGGGTCCCTGCTCCGTTGGCTGTCACCCGTGAGCCGGGCGGGTGGGGACCCTCTGCCCGGGCAGGCGCGGGGGGGTCCCCGCGGGCCCCGGAGCCGCTCGGGCGGCGAATGCCCGAGGGGAGGCCCAGGCCCAGCGGCCGCCATGGCCCCTGCGGCGGAGCCGGGACTCGCCGCTGCCCTTCGCCCGGG